GGGGGGTGTTGGTTTGAGGCCTTTTTCTGCTTCCCAGAGGCTTGGAAAAAGCCTCTGCAAGGCTTTTCAGGACGAATTATAGGGCTGTTTCGTCACTTTCTATAATACCGGAAGTGACGAAACGGGCCTATAATTCGACCTGAAAAGCCTTGCAGAGGCTTTTTCCAAGCTTCTGGGAAGCAGAAAAAGGCCTCAAACCAGCTGTGAGGCACAGTGCAGGTAAGGGGGTGGGGTGGGAGATTGCGCATGCATGTGCAGGGGGTGTGGGGAGAGATGGTGCGCATTGCATTCTAAGAGCTGGCACGCAAGTGCGTGTGCGCTGGTGTGCGTGCAATTTTTGGCACAGGAGCCCCAAAAGGTTAGCCACCACTGCCTTAAAGCATTGTCTTTTCTCAGCCAGCTGCAGCATGGTCCTAGGAGCACATCTGATTAGAGGTACTAAGTACCATCCCTGCACAATTGAAGCATCCTTTTCCTTTCACACTGAAAACGAGGAACCCTCCTTTCGAACCCATTTAGAAATGCTTCATTGCAGCTTGCTCCTGCTATGTGGATGAGTGGGTAAAAAAAAGTGATGCCCCCAAACCAAGCTTGATTGCTGCTTTGAAGTGTGTGGAATTGATTTGCTATTGTTTTGGAGGACCTATTCTGGGGCAGAGTTTATCACAATCCTTTGTAAACTTTTGGCTGATTCTTGAGTAGGTGAAAGTACTTTTTATTGAAATTACTTGCCTCTGGAATTTTTTGGAAATTTTAAAGTCGCAGAAAAAAGGAGTGTGTGATAAAAATGGAACCCTTTACAGATCTTAGTGCATTTTGTAATTTTAAGAGCATGCAGTGCAGTATTTGTGATTTACCATAAATTTGGTAAATCACATATACTTGTGAAATTTAAATTTAAAATAAAATTATCCAGAGTATTCCCAACATATTTTTTTTTTAAATTCAGTATGGGAGAAGGGGAAAAATTAGGAAAAATATGTACTTTTATATTTCCCCCTCAAACCTTAACATTTCTACAGTATATTCCTCCCATTTTCAATTATTATTAATGAACATCAAGTAAGGAATTCTTAAGGAAGGAATAAACTGATCCGGATGAATTTGATAACTTTACCCAGAAATCCCTAAAACAATAAAAAGCTGGCATTCAAATTAAATACTGCCTACAAATACAGCCACATCAGAAAAGGATGAATAAAGGCTTTTTTTTTTTTTTGTTTAAAACCCAGGTTGATCATGAGAGATCATCCAATCTATCACTTAAGGAGGGTATCAAACCCAAGGCCCACGGGCCAGATCTGGCCCACAAAGTGTTTGGATCTGGCCCTGGAAACAGCAAAGGACCAGCCTGCAATGCCTCTGCCAGTGAAAACGGAACTCCCTCCCGGGCTCCATTTTCTCTGGCAGAGGGCTGCAGGAGGCCGTTGCAGCCGAAAACGGAGCCCGGGAGGGCTGCGGGTGGCCCTCACAAGTACTCTTTTTGCTGGCAGAATGCTAGCAAAACAAATTACTAGCAAAAGTGGCATTTGATCCCACGAGTGGTGTCACAGCGGCCCCCCCCCCCCCCCCCCCCCCCCCCCCAGGTCAGACACAACCCTGATGCGGCCCTTGATGAAATAGAGTTTGGCACCCCTGCATGATAGCCTCTATTTAAAGGCCACAAGTAAAGGGGAACTCAGCATATCATGTTGCAACCTCTTCCAGTGGCTTATAGCATGTTAAGTAGAAGATACTCCTGATGAGGCTGCTTGCTTGTATTTTCAACCTAATTCCTTTGGGGCAACATATGAATCTCTGATTTGCTTTTGGTGTCACCTGATTGGAAACATACAAACTATGAGAAAACTCAATATTACTGTCCTGGAGCCATAAATTTATTCCACAGTTAAGTGGGCAAGTATTTTAACTGTGACTTTGCAATTCTGTAGGCTTATAGTTTTGTTCATTGTTCAGGCTACAAAATACCAGTCTTTATTCAGTTACATTGCTGTTCTGTTAATAGACAAATTAATGCAAAACTATTTTTAAAAGTAACAGTAGTTCTATGCCCTTCTAGTTTCTATGCAGTGCTGTAGTATACCTCTAATAGCTGCCTTCTTATGGAAATTGCTTTCTAGATGTATCCACAATACATACACTGAATAAATGAATGAATCCAGCTGTTCTGGTTCACAATAAACCACTAAGTCAAAAGTAGCTAGCTATCCATTTGCCGAAAAGTATTGTATGACCAGACCTCATAGATTGGCATCTATATATTTGCTTTTGAGAATGAAGAGGGATGGGTGAAAAATCATGCTATCCTTTGGGGGCAGTTCTAGGGAAGAGCCAAGTTTGTAGACATACAAGATACTTTTTACTTCAGAATTTTTGAGCCTCGGCCTTAAAAGTAAAGACTTCCAATTCCCCAGCCAGAACTGGGAGATTAAGGTGCACACATCTTCAAATGTCAAGAAACACTGTCTTACATCTTGTTTGATGTAGTTTGAAAATGGATTTACAATTTCTCAGGAGTTAAATTCACCTGCCCCCATCTGCTTGGAACTTTGGAAACAAGTGCTTGGTCTGTTTATATTCTGTGGAATTAGCTTCCTTTTGCTGCAATTTTAGCAATCTGTTTACTTAAATTTATTGAATAAAGCATGATTGAGCGGATTTGTAATAGTAAGCCATTATTTTTTTATATTTATTTATGAAATTTATTTGTTGCACATCTCAGGATTGGAGCGATTCAGGAGATTACAACAGAATAATATCAAGAATATAAAAACCTTGTTATTTAAAAAAAACTTAGTATAGCTTTTCTTAAAGTGTGGCTGAAGGCCTCTGGGGGTCCTCAAAATAATTTGCCAGGTATTAAACATATTTGCAAACATTTAAAACTATTTTTTCCTATCTTTAATTTGTTAAAAGTATAGACTTTCTTCACCTAATTGACTTAATAGTTATTTTACATGATTTAATAAACCTAACATTATAATTTAATATAGGCTGTATCCTGGACTTGACTTAATGTTAGTTTTACAAATGTGTTTTAATTCTGGCTTAAATAATTTTATTATCTGTACTGGTTTATGACCACAATAAACTAAATTGAGTTAGATTCAATAAATCAATATTCTGTAACTGCATCAATCTTAATTCTTAATATAGTAAATATAACACATATGAACAAAGGCATGTCATACTAGATGCCAAACTAGAATTCAACATAACACAAACACAAGCAATAGAATATGACACCAGAGTCTTAGATTTTAAAAAGAGCTGATTTTGACAAACTCAGAACTTGGGAAAGATTCCTTGGATGAAAATCCTAAAGGGGAAAACAACTCAAGAAGCTTGGGAAACTGAAAAATATGATAATAAAAGCCCAGGCTAACACAATACCACTGAAAAGGAAACAAGAAATCCAAGAAAAACCCAGCATGGCTACACAAAGATCTCTGACAAATTGAAAGACAAAAAGAAAGACGATTAGGGTATTGGAGGTTAAAACATATGAAGAACGGAACTGGGCATGGCTAGTCTAGTGAAGAGAAGGACCAGGGGAGACATGTTAGCAGTCTTCCAATATTTGAGGGGCTGCCACAAAGAGGAAGGGGTCAAACTATTTTCCCAAATACCTAAAGGCCAGACAAGGAATAATGGATGGAAACTGATTTAAGGGGAGATTCAACCTAAAAGTAAGGAGACATTTTCTGACAGTGAGAACAAATAACCAATAGAACAGAAGTTGCAGGGAGCACATATACTGTATATGAAAGAGCTGGCCTAGAGACTGGAGATAGAGTTCACTTTAGACGGGGGCCTTCAAACTTGACAGCTTCAAGACTTGTGGACTTCAACTCCCAGAATTCCTCCTCCAGTCATGTTAGCTCAGGAATTCTGGGAGTTGAAGTCCACAAGTCTGAAGAGCCTTGCCAAGTTTGAAGACCTTTGACTTTAGCCATGAAAGTCCTCTGGGTCACTTTGGGCCAGTGACTTTCTCAATTCACAGGGTGGTGGTTGTGCGGAAACTAGGAGGGAGGCCTATGAGGTACGCTTGCAGACTTCACTTACTTATAAAGTAATAAAAGTGGGATAAAAATATAACAAATAAAATAAATGGCCACCGACACAGAGGAATCCGCATCCTCTGGCCTCCTTTTCTATTTCTCCACCTGGCTTAATATTTCCACCCAAGAACGAAGCCTCCGTTGTCACAGCGAACCAGAGGAAAGGGGAAAAAAAAAATTCGGGCCTGCCGGTCAAAGCCCCTTCCCCTCAGGTGCCGGCGGGAGCCCCTTCCGAGCAAGCGGCGGTCCCATCCACGAAGCAGCGAGAGGCCGCCTGTGCAGAGGGAGCCGCGGCAGCCTCGCCCCTTCCTCTTCGAAAGGCGCGCGGAGGCGGGGCAAAGCGGGCCAGGCGAGCGGCGGATTTGGCGGGCTGTTGCGGCCGAAAGTCCCGGTCTTCCGCATGGCGGCAGGGGAGGAGGAAGCCCTGGAGGGGCTGGACGGAGCCACGCTGGAGGAGCTGATGGAGAGCAGCTTCGTGGAAGAGCCGCCGGCGGAAAGGTGGTCGTCTCGGCCGAGGCTGAAGCGGGGGGCTTGAGAGCGCCGGGTGTGTGTGTGTGAAATGCGAGGGATCCCCCGGCTTAATACCTTAAATGCAGCCTGGTTTGATCGTGGTTTAGGGAAATGTAGTTCACGGTACCCTATAAGTAAGCTCAGAGAAGCAAGACGGTTCTTCTGCTTCCAATTGGGAAGGGGCTCCATAGGATCATCAAGACGGTTACAAATTTTTCCCCGATGTGAAAGTTAATAATGATGATGATGATGATGATGATGATGATAACCACCTCTGGTTGTTGTTGTTGTTGTTGTTATATTATTATTATTATTATTATTATTATTATTATTATTATTATTATTA